GCCCCTCCCCCACCCCAATGATCGATCCCAGCCCCTCCCCCTCCCCCTTTCCGCCCCTCCCCCTCACCTGCCCAGGGGCACGGCCAGGTAGAACGCCCCCAGGGCGCGGCTGCGGGCAGGGCCCCGGTACAGGTCGGCCACCAGGGTGGGGGCCAGGGTGGAGTAGGCGGCCTCGCCCACCCCCACCAGCGCCCGGCCGGCCAGCAGCACCCCAAAGTGCTGGGGGGAGGGGCGGGGGTCAGTCACCCCTCCCCCACCCTGCCCGGCCCCTCCCCCACCAGCGCCCGGCCGGCCAGGAGCACCCCGAAATGCTGGGGGGAGGGGCGGGGGTCACTGACCCCTCCCCCACCCTGCCCTGCCCCTCCCCCACCCTGCCCTGCCCCTCCCCCACCCTGCCCTGCCCATCCCCCACCAGCGCCCGGCCGGCCAGGAGCACCCCGAAATGCTGGGGGGAGGGGCGGCGGGGGTCACTGACCCCTCCCCCACCCTGCCCTGCCCCTCCCCCACCAGCGCCCGGCCGGCCAGCAGCACCCCGAAGTGCTGGGGGGAGGGGCGGGGGTCAGTCACCCCTCCCCCACCCTGCCCTGCCCATCCCCCACCCCCCTCCGGGGTCCCTGACCCCTCCCCCACCTCCCCACGTGCCCTCGGGTGTGTTTTGGGTGCCCCCAGGTGTATTTTGGGCGCCTCCAGGTGCATTTTGGGTGCCCCCGGGTGTATTTTGGGTGCCCCCAGGTGCGTTTTGGGTGCCCTCGGGTGTGTTTTGGGTGCCCCCGGGTGTGTTTTGGGTGCCCCCGGGTGTATTTTGGGTGCCCAGAGGTGTATTTTGGGTGCCCCCGGGTGTATTTTGGGTGCCCCCAGGTGCATTTTGGGTGCCCCCAGGTGCATTTTGGGTGCCCCCAGGTGCATTTTGGGTGCCCAGGTGTATTTTGGGTGCCCCCAGGTGATTTTTGGGTGCCCCCAGGTGTGTTTTGGGTGCCCCCAGGTGTGTTTTGGGTGCCCCCAGGTGTGTTTTGGGTGCCCCCAGGTGTATCTCAGGTGTGTTTTGGGCGCCCCCAGGTGTGTTTTGGGCGCCCCCAGGTGCATTTTGGGCACCCCCAGGTGCATTTTGGGCGCCCCCAGGTGTATTTTGGGCACCCCCAGGTGTATTTTGGGTGCCCCCAGGTGCATTTTGGGCGCCCCCAGGTGTATTTTGGGCGCCCCCAGGTGTATTTTGGGCGCCCCCAGGTGTATTTTGGGCGCCCCCAGGTGTATTTTGGGCACCCCCAGGTGTGTTTTGGGCGCCCCCAGGTGTATTTTGGGCGCCCCCAGGTGTATTTTGGGCACCCCCAGGTGTGTTTTGGGTGCCCCCAGGTGTATTTTGGGCGCCCCCAGGTGTATTTTGGGTGCCCCCAGGTGCATTTTTGGGGTGCCCAGGTGGGTTTCGGGTGCC